GAGAGGCAGTGTGGTGGGTGTAGAGGGTGGAGAGAAGCCATGTAGTGGATATAGAGGGTTTAGTGGGTGTAGGAGAGGCTGTTTGGTGGGTGTAGAGGGTGTAGTGGGTGTAGTGTGCGTAAGAGAGGCTATGTGTTGTGTGTAGTGGGTGTAGTGGGCGTAGAAGCTGTGTAGTGGGTGTAAAGGGTATAGTGGACGTAGGAGAGGCTGTGTAGTGGATGTAGAGGGTGTATTTGGTGCAGTGGGTGTAGGTGAGGCTGTATGCTGGGTGTAGAAGGTGTACTGGCAGTAGTGAGTGTACAGGGTGTGTGGTGGGTGTAGTGGGTGTAGGAGGAACTGTGTGGTGGGTATAGTGGGTGTAGGGAAGCTGTGTGGTGGGTGTAGTGGGTGTGGAGAGGCTGTGTGGTGGATGTAGAGGGTGTAGGAGAAGCTGTGTGGTGGGTGTAGTGGGTGTCGGAGAAGCTGTGTGGTGTGTGTAGTGGGTGTAGAAGTGGCTGTGTTGGGTGTAGAGGGTGTAGGAGAAGCTGCATGGTGGGTGTAGAGGGTGTACTTGGTGCAGTGGGTGTAGGAGAGGCTGTGTGGTGGGGTGTGGGGTGTAGGTGAGACTGTGTGGTGGGGTGTGAGTGGGTGTAGGTGAGACTGTGTGGTGGGTGTAGAGGTGTACTGGCTGTAATGGCAGTAGGAGAGGGTGTGTGTGGGTGTAGTAGGTTTTAGAAGTGACTGTGTGTTGGGTGTAGGGAGAGCTGTGTGGTGGGTGTATAGGGTGTACAAGTGGCTGTTTGTTAGGTGTAGTGGGTGCAGGAGGCTATGCAGTGAGTGTGAAGGGGAAGGTGACACAGAGTAGAAGTAAGGAAGGAAATGTAGCAGAGGTGACAAGGGAAGTAGCAGAGTACAGGTGAGGAGAGGGAAGTAGCAGTACAGGTGAGAGAGGGAAAGTGAGTACAGGTGAGAGAGGGAAGTAGCAGTACAGGTGGGGAGAGAGGGAGTAGCAGTACAGGTGGAGAGAGGGAGTAGCAGTACAGGTGGAGAGGGGAGTAGCAGTACAGGTGAGGAGAGGGAAGTAGCAGTGCAGGGGTGGGGGAAGTAGCAGTACAGGGGTGAGGAGGGAGTAGCAGTACAGGTGAGGAGAGTAGCAGTACAGGTGAGGAGGGAGAGTAGCAGTACAGGTGGGGAGGGAATAGCAGTACAGGTGAGGGAGAAGTAGCAGTACAGGTGAGGAGGAAGTAGCAGTACAGGTGGAGAGAGGGGAAGTAGCAGTACAGGTGGGGAGAGGGAAGGCAGTACAGGTGAGAGAGGGAAGTAGCAGTACAGGTGAGGAGAGAGGGGAAGTAGCAGTACAGGTGAGGGAGAGAGTAGCAGTACAGGTGGGGAGAGAGGGGAAGTAGCAGTACAGGTGAGAGGGGAGTAGCAGCAGTACAGGTGAGAGAGAGGGAAGTAGCAGTACAGGTGAGGAGTAGCAGTACAGGTGAGGAGGGAAGTAGCAGTACAGGTGAGAGAGTGGAAGTAGCAGTACAGCAGGTGAGAGAGGGGAAGTAGCAGTACAGGTGAGAGAGGGGAAGTAGCAGTACAGGTGAGAGAGGGGAAGTAGCAGTACAGGTGAGAGGTGGCAGTACAGGTGGAGAGGGAGGAAGTAGCAGTACAGGTGAGGAGAGGGAAGTAGCAGTACAGGTGAGAGAGGGGAAGTAGCAGTACAGGTGAGAGAGGGAGTAGCAGTACAGGTGGGGAGAGTAGCAGTACAAGTGAGAGATGGGAATTAGTAGTTTGGGAAACGTTAGAACAGTCCCACCCGCCCCTAACAGCAATTACAGCACATGATTACAAAAATACATTACAGCACAGTACAGCCTATAGTTACAGCACGTAATTTCACCTGCCTTAACTATTCATTAGATCAGCCAACCAATCAGAGCGCTGGAAAATATAATAGATATTCCAATTCAAATGCAGGAAAAAATGTGAAAGAAAAAACCTCACTACATATCCATCCTCCTGTCTCCTCACCCCTCATGCATCATTCCATCCCTCTTATCTTCCAGTCTCTCATGTCTTTCTGTTTTATGTTAAATCTGCCGAGGAGACTACAGTAAGTCTCTAGCAGTTAATAATGTCTCTCCACTGTCTGGAAAGGATTTGTCTTTCTTATTTGCGGTGACTCTCCTCTCTCTCTCTTAGTATTCTATCTATTCAGCAGCTATTTATACACACACACACACACACACACACACACACACACACACACACACACACACACACACGCGATAAAAAAAGTTCACTATTGTTCATTAAAAGAAACCGAACGAACAGGCGTGAATAATATTTTGGAATATTGTTTGGTGATTACCTCACGATTATACAGCGATCTCTTGAGACTTGTAAAAAAAATCAATATCGCCTCTGTTAATGTGAAGTCTATTGTTTAGTACGAACAAATGATATAAATTGGTACAAAATTATATAAAATGGTACAAATGGTACAAAATGCTGGCATAAAAAGCTACAAATGGTACAAAATGGTATACAAATATCTACCAGATGGGGAAGATAAGTGATCATAGCATAATATAAGTTGGTGATTTACCTACTTTATGTACTCATGTGCAGACACTGTACCGTAGTTTAATTAAATGTGGTTCACTTAGTTCTTGTACTCATCCATCTGTTACTGCTGATCTATTTAATATATATATATATATATATATATATATATATATAATTATTAATTATATATACAATTAGCTCACCAGGCACAGGTCAATCACCCACATCAGGCCTGGGGCGAAGATTTATAATATAATAATAATAATAATATATAATAATAATATATAATATATAATAATATATATATATATATATATATAATCAAGTAAAAACAATATATGTATGTTGTGTTGTCAAAGTAAGAGAAACAATTGAGACCCTGCAATTGTGTGTATTTGAGGCAGAAAGTCAGATCAGCAACCTGGGACTTGGTCACAATTTTTGTGATGCCATATGGCAGCAGGGTCTACCATTAGACAACACATTATGCTTCCAATATTTTCCCTGTTTGGTAGTTGTTTAATTTAATTGATTCAACAAAGACGTGATATGAAGTTGTATGTGTTATCACTATTTATAACTAGATATACAGTGGGGGAGGGGACTCACTATACACCCGTACGACTACAGAAAAATCTTTTAATCAACCTTACCTTGCCGCCCACACTACAACACTAAACTGGCATTACCTATTAGCTGTCGGAAGCATATTCTGAGTGTCCAATCAGAGTATGTTTTTCAAAGAATTTTTAGTCAGTTTTTCCACTGATTGGCTAGTTCAAAATATGGGCGTGGTCACGTCATTTCTATGGGCGGAGCTATCTTCATGGTACCTAGTATAGGCAGAGATCTGGTCACCCATGAGGGGATAACTAATGGTGACGAATTGGGGTAATTGTCGCTACACCAGTACTATACACACACAAGACCCTACAGGTCAATTGGTTCTCGTGAGCGTAGGCGTGCGTGGGCGTCCCTTATATTACAATAGCACTCAGTATAAGGATATATTGATATAAATGGACATTAGAGTTCTGGGAATAGATATTATTAAAAACAATGTCCAGCATTTGGTAAGATTATTTATTTTCTGCACCGCTGTTGGTTCGTAGGTTTGATGACGTCAGGGAACAGATAAACAAAACTGATGTCATTGGTAAGAATTTTTTCTGTGACCTCATTGGCTCGTAGGTTTGATTACGTCACACACAGTCATTATTTTTATTTTTGGTAGTTTAGGTTAAAACAATGACGTTTGCACAGTTAATATTATAAACTCAAGACTGATCCTATTGTAGGGGAAGAATTTTAAATACTCTTATTTAAATGTTATTAAAAATATATTACAACAATGCTCACTGGACTGAGTCCACACACACTGTTGTACAGAAATGTACATGACACACATATGCACATAACCTCACATACACATACACATGATACACGTGTATACATACATAGTTGCATATTCACGTGCACACACATAATACATACTACTTATAAACATATACATGCATGGCTATATAATAAAACATGGTACAGTATATATACTTACGCATGTATACATGTACATATATACGCACGTACTCACATACTGCATACATAACTGATAATGTAGTGTTACATGCTAACTATAATGTATACTTATGTATATTTATTTTGAATGTTACCTCGTTGGTCGTTGTTCTCAACTATTCGGGTAGGTAGTTCCACTCATTGTATCTCCTGTCCCACTATTGGTTAGTAGGTTTGATGATGCCAGAACCAACAATGGCTTCCCCGGTAAACGTAAATATCATCTCGAGCAACACTACCCGGAGAGTTCCGTCTCTCATAATTGTTATCGTTGTTGGACTAATGTATTACTAACTTTGCTACACGCTTAAAGACCTTCGTTGTTGAACCGCAGCAATAACATTATAACAACAACAACAACAACAACCTCACTACAGCCAACAACTCAGTTCTACTTCACAATTTTTTAAAACAATTTTTTTGTCATTATTTTTAAGTTTATTTGAAGATTTGAGTTCATCTCTCTTCCTTCTCTTCTAATAGACCATCTTCACTAACCCCTTCACCAAGGGGCACCACTTTTAATATTCCGTTTGACAAACACCAGACGACATTATTCGGCACAGAGACCCAGTGCAGAATGCTGTAGGAAATTGAATATGTCAAGCAAGACTAATTTGTTTTCTTGGGTCAATATTGACGGTGAAATGCCTGTTTATTTTGGGTGGCCAAATTTTATTGTGATAATACAGCCTGGAATACTACCTGATATATATATATATATATATATATATATATATATATATATATATATATATATATATATATATATATATATATATATTACGAATTATGTGGTTCTATACCCATTCATTAGTTTAAAAAGGTTACCCGTCTTAAGTGCTGTATCGTAACTGTAATATTTTCCTTCTTCTTTTCAGAAATCATTAAGGTCTCAAAAACCCACCGCCTGTGGATATTCCTGCAACAGAAGCAACTCAATAACGCTCCAAGATAATAACAGTCCATTCCAAGCCCCACAACGGGCGTATTCCAGGCCTCACAACGGGAGTAGTCCAGGCCCCATAACTGGAGTGTTCCAAGCCTCACAACAGAAGTATTCCACTCCTCACAACGGGAGCATTCCAGGTCCTACAACGGGAGTATTCCAGGCCCCACAACGGGAATATTCCAGGCTTCATAGTGGGAGTATTCCAGGCCTCACAACGGGATTATTCCAGGCCCCACAATAGAAGTATTTCAGGTTTACAACAAGAATATTCCAAGTCTAAAGCGTGTTCATTCCTAACTTGCAACGGGCGCGTCATTATAAATATCCAGTATATCCAGTACGTACCATTTCTAACATTCTCTTGTAAAATTTCATCTCCATAAGAGGAACATTTTAAGTCTATAACGGAGCATTTTAAGTCCACAACGGCAACATTCCAGTTTATCAACGGTAGTTCACCAAACCTCCAACAGAAGTACCACACTAATTACTGTTATATAGCCGTGATTCAACAACAGCAACACAAACAGTGACCAGTAAAAGTCTTGACAAACTTTTATATTTTGTTACATCAACACAAAAGTTCCGTCAGCTGGAACAAGAATCAATTTACGGTGAGACGATTTTTGAAACTGTTTGTGAAAAGTGGATCTGGACGAGGCAATTAAAGAAGAACGTTTGACAACCGTAGTAAACATACTCGTCAGTTTCAAATTATCATCAATACAAGAGCGCAAGCTGGTCTTTAATATCCAAACAATACTACCAACTCGGTCATTAGCGAGGAAAATAAGCAGTATATTCGGGGGTTTTTTCCGTGTAAGGATTTTTGCAACAGAGAAATTCTCCCCGGTGTGTTTCTAGTCGACCGTATCTGACCTACTTTACGTGGCAGTGTTTCCAGTTTAGTAGACGGTATTTTCTCTCTCGTGGCTGTGTCAGTTGGTCGCGTGTAGGGAGTATAGAGGCAGAGGTAGGGAGACAATCGTATTATTATAGGCAGGACATTCCAGAAGTGGAAGGTAAAAAGATCAAGGACTTTGGGCTTCCTACCGTAACCATGTGGGCGGCGGGAGTGGTTTGGGCGGCATGAGTGAGGTGGCCCTCCCGCCCATTGGTCGCGGCGGCCGTCACCACCACGGACCATGAGCACGACGCCGGGCTCCCGTCCCTCTCTGTGTCAGCCCAGAAGGCGCGCCGCCTTGCTGTGGGCGTGGCTGTGGGCGTTAGCGCTCACCGAGTTCGGGGCGCTGGCCGACTGCCCTAAAGTGTGTGAGTGCAAGTGGCGGGACGGGAAGGAAGTAGTGTCCTGCCGAGACGCGCACTTCATCGATATCCCCCGAGGACTCGATCCTTCCACACAAGTCCTTGACCTCCGCCATAATAACCTGAGAATCCTCCCCAGAGACTCATTCGTCTACACAGGTCTTGTTAACTTGCAGAAGGTTTGGCTCAACTTCTGCAACCTGATGCGGCTGGAGAAAGGCGCCTTCAGGATGCTGAGCAACGTCGTGGAGCTTGACTTGAGCAACAACTTCCTGCGCACTGTACCGTCAGAAGCCCTCATGGACATGGGCGGTCTCCGGGAGCTGCACCTCGCCCACAATGGCCTCAAAGTCATCCCGACGATGGCCTTCGTGCCTACGCCAGAACTAGTGCACCTCGACATTAGCCACAACACTATATCGGTGATCGAAGATGGAGCCTTACGAACGCTTTCTAGGCTCGAAGTTCTTAACTTGTCAGACAATAAACTCGAAACAATGGACGCCAGTGAGCTGATCCCGCTGGCGGTGCTACGGGTGATACACCTTGACGGTAACCCCTGGTACTGTGACTGCCGCCTTAGGCCACTGCGTAAGTGGATGCGGGAACACAACTTAGCGGCGTCGGTGCCCGCCGTGTGTTCTCACCCTCGGTGGCTGACAGGTCGTGACTGGCAACTGTTGGACGAAGAGGAGTTTGTGTGCGCGCCACTGGTGTCAGCCGTGGCCCCCAGAGTACTAGCGGCCGAGGGTGAGAATGTGTCGCTGGCGTGTCGTGTTGAGTCTGAGGTGGAGACGATCGTCACCTGGCTAGTAGGCGACAGTCCTCTTCAGAACACTAGCGAGGCTCAGCGCTACACTGTGGTGGAACTGATGGGGCCATACTACGCTCCATCCATTTCCAACTTGACCATAACAGACGTGGTGCCGATGGACCAGGGCACGTACCGCTGTGTAGCGGAGAACCGGGCGGGGCGAAGGGAGGTGAACCTCACGCTGCAGGTGTCGCACGAGGTGGCCGAGGTGCGGGTCGCTAACGTGGACGACTCGTATATGAAAGGCGGCGTTCTCGGAGGAATAATAATTCTTGTGTGCATCTTATTTATCGTATGTCTCCTCATATATTGTAAAGTACGTAGTAGTAGTCGCCCACTGCGACAAGAGGACGACAAGCTGGTCACACCCCAGACGTCGCGGGGGTCAGAGGGTACCGAACCCCACAAGCTGGCCGGGTACCACATAGTGCCCACCAACGACCTGGAGGACCCCCAGCCGTCAGCAAGAAGATCACAACAAACACAGTCGTCTTGGATGCTCCACGAGGCGACAATTGATGACTACCCCCCCGGGAAGACCCTGGAGAAGGGCGGCGCGGAGGGACATCGTCAGGAGAGCGTCGAGATTCCCGTGACGTTGCCAACGGCAACACCCAGCAGCGTCTCCTACGTGGAAATCCCCAAGTCAGGTGTCGGGGCGGTGAGAACCACCCTAGAGGACCCTGCACGGTGGAAGGACCACCTCATCTACCACAGTAGGGACGCCATCTTCTACAGGATGTGTGGCCGCTCGTCGTCCCAGGTATCCGTGGGCGTCAGTAACAGTGGCCAATACCCAGACTTACTGGATCTGCCGCGGTCACAGCTGCAGCAACAGCAGGAGATGCAGCAGCACTACAGCAGCCGTCTGCCACTCCACACACTCAATCCGTCCTACTGCACCCTGCCCAGAACGTGAGTATAACATCTGTCTAGCTATCCGTCTATTAACTCATACAGCTGTCTCCATCTACCCCATCAAACCCCAACCCACCATCTACCAGAGTATTTATCACTGAGCTAACTCACTGTCACTGCATCCTCTCACACACAAAGGAAACAAGAAAATACCATGTTTCCAATGCACTTGTTACATGGAAAGCGTTGTTTTATAAATTCACAGTCAAGATGTTTGTGTTTTCCCTGGTTCTCTTCTTCGTTATATATATATATATATATATATATATATATATATATATATATATATATATATATATATATATATATATATATATATATATATATATATATATATATATATATATATATATATATATATATGTGTGTGTGTGTGTGTGTGTGTGTGTGTGTGTGTGTGTAGTGTTCTGGTGAGGCACAGCAACACCCACAGGTCATGAGATACGTACCAACAGCACAACTCAAAATACACGGCAGCAAACACTTTCTAGTCTATAATTTATGAAATATGTACAATGCAGCTCCCCAGTGAGTGTGTGTGTGTGTGTGTGTGTGTGTGTAAGACCACACACACACACACATGGAAGAAATTCGTAAGCAGGAATTTTTCCTCCCACAACGACCCATTGTTCAAGACCGATCATAAAAATCTTCCTCAGTATCCCCCAACAACCCCACCCCAGCCCACCCCAGCCCTCCCACTAACCCCAGCCTCCACCCACCCCATCCCTCCCACCGCCTATCCCTCCCACCCAACCCAGCCTCCCACTAACCCCAGCCTCCCACTAACCCCAGCCCTCCCACCCCAGCCCTCCCACCCACCCCAGCCCTCCCACCAACCCGTCCCCTCCCACCCACCCCCCAGCTCTCCCACCCACCTAAGCCCTCCCACCCAACCCAGCCTCCCCCACCCGGCTTTTTTCTTTTTTTTTTTATTAGAAAGGAGGGGTGAAAGAAGATTATAGGTGGGGGAAGGAAGTTATAGTTCGGAAATTGAAGAAATTTAGGAGGAGGTAAGAGAGGGCGGGCTGACCGCCTAGCTAAGCTAATAGTGTGTTAGGGTTGCGTCGGGTCAGTTACTGTCTGTCGGTACAGGCACTAGACATCCTACCCTGTCCCATATATGGGTGTTTTAAGGGTCTTATTTCATATTCCGCCGACCCAACTAGCGGATGCTGGTCTAGGGAGGATGTCTATTGCCTGGCCGTGTAGATCAGGGGGTGGAAATGGACCTTTTGAGATTTGGTAACTTTTTGGGAACCATGAATTTGTTGTTGTCGTTATCTGGTGGGAGTCTTTGAAGGAGTTCTTGCTCTGATAATTTATTAGTTCTCCACGTTATGTTGCATTATTTTTACTGCATTACGTAGCGAGTCCATTGTATCTTGTTTATGGTTTTAGGGGGATCTCTCAGATTCGTGGTTTTCTCTGTGCGTCCATTTCTCAATTTTTTTATCATCCCAACGGATGACTTTTGGATACAGTTTGTTAAATCGACCTGTTTTTGTATAATGGCCTCGTGGATGTCCTCCTCGGAAGTGGGGTGGTCGTACTTCCATTTCATCTTGTACTCAATTACTCCTCTAACGACTTCATCACGTGTACAGTCCTCGTTGATGTGGTCTGGTACGTAGATGCTTAGTTTCAGTTCTTTACCTGATAGATCGCTTGGAGTCCGAGAGACAGGTATCATCTCCGGTGTGGGTACTTGTGCATCCACACCAGAGCCCACTGATGTCTCCTCTGTGAATGTTGGAGATTGGGGGACAAGTATCATCTCCGTTGTGGGTACTTGTGCATCCACATCAAGGGCTACTGTTGTCTCCTCCGAGGCTGAGGATGTTGCCCTGAACAGTTTTGGGATGGGCAGACTGTGGTGGCATAAGCAATTTTTCGAGTATTGTTTGAAAGCAGCCTGGGTGCAGAACATCCTCCTCACGGGCGTGTTTGACAATCATGCTGGCTAGTATGTCACGGTCATGGAGGTATCTGTCTCTGGCATTCAACAAGACTGTAGAGTCTGTAGTGGCTGCAGGGACCATAGTGACTGCAGAAGTCGGGGTCCCTACCAACACTACATCTCTGTATGTCCGTGCAGTGACTGCAGGAGTCGGGGTCCCTATCGGCAGCACAGCCTTGTATGGTGATACTGATGTTTTTGTGGCTTTTTGTTGTGCTTCCTTGATTTTTTTCCTTTCTTTTGGGACAGTTCATTGACATAATGCTGTGAGGCCCATCACAGTTAAGGCATTTGGAACAGATCTTGTATTCCTTGGGTTTGGGGCAGTTCACACTATCATGATCCTCAATGGCATAGCACCTGAGGCAGGTACGTGTATGGTGGTACTGTTCCTGTTGTATTTGGTGGTACGGTATGCTATGGGTGAATGCGAGGAGACCTGATTTGGTTGCTTTTTCAGCAACCTTGGTGCTTTTGAACTGAATTTTGATTATGCATTTGCCTTTTTTACTGGTGAATTTTTTGACATAGTCCACCTTGTTCTTCGCCCAAGCGTTTTCTTTTTCAATCGCTGCTTTTATTTCCACTTCAGACTCTTCGTGAACGGATTCATCCATTTGGAAGCAGAGAACAGTTCTTTTAGCCTTCAAAGCAGGAGGCAGGATTGGGTCATAGTGCTCTTCCTTTAGATTGTCTATACATCTCTGGGACAAGAGGTCATCCAGGTCATGGTCATCAAGCATGAGCATGATGAAGCCATCTTTTGCTTCTATTACGTTCTGGTACCTGACATTGTGTTCGCAAGCAATTTCTGTCTGCTTCCGCTTGGTGGACCTGTTTGGTGGCCTCTGGTCTGTGATTAGTATTTTCGCTTTGACAGTCATTATTGCTTGTTTGAGTGAAGCACGATAGATCGGCGCAAGTTATGTGCGTAGCCGAGGACAGTGTATAGCACTGTCAGTCCTACGTTACCTATGCCGGCAAGAAAGGGGGCTGGGATATCAGTTGCCCCACTGTCTTGGTTGAAGGCTTAAAAGACCACACGGGCAGTTCACCCCCAAGAACAGCAGTTTGGTATGGCGAAAAGAAGAGGTTAAGAATTAGATTTGAAATGGTGTACAAGTGTGTGATTGTGGCACCCGACTCCAACCCTCTCAGTCACCCCACCCACCCCAGCCCTCCTAACCCTCTAACCCCCCTCCAACCCTCACACACACTCCACCCCAAATAAGGACCTCAAAACACCCATAAATGGGATAGGGTAGGCTGTCTAGTGCCTAACCTACAGACAATAACTAACCCATGACACAACCTTAACACACTATTAGTTTAGCTAGGTGATCAGCCCGCCCTCTCCTGCCTCCTCCTTAATTTCCTCAATTCCCAAACTATATCTTCCTTACTCCACCTCTCATCTTCTTTCACCCCTCCTCATCTCAACTACCCCAATCCTCACACCTAGCCCATCCACCTATACCCTCCCATCCACCCTAACCCTCCCACCCTCCCACCCACTGCAACCACCCCATCCCACCCATCCCAACCCTCCCATCCACCCTAACCCTCCCACCCTCCCACCCACTCCAACCACCCCATCCCACCCATCCCAACCCTCCCACCCACCCCAACCCTCCCACCTACCCTACCCCAATTCTTCGGGAAAAGTTATCCTCCTTCTTCCCTCATCTTTCTCTCTCTTTTCCCCTTCACTTCCCATCCCTTCCTTCCTTCTTTTTACTCCCCAACAAATGAATACATACATACATACATACATACATACATACATATATACATACATACATTCCTGTTAGTCCAATAAGCCAACTTCATGACGTGGTACCCATTTCTCTCCCGGGTGACACAGGAGAGCCAGGGTGAACAGTGATGTATCTACCAGGCCAGATAGAGAGGCGGGGAAGTCCGGACTGCACACTACCACCACACAGCCGGCACCACCACCCCCACTACAGCCTGACGAGTGGCTCATATGGGTGAGTCACCTCTCTCTCTCTCTCTCTCTCTCTCTCTCTCTCTCTCTCTCTCTCTCTCTCTCCCTAACAGTGGACAGCGGGCGTACATTAAAGTGTCCATCTCTCTCACAGATCATCAAGTGCCCTCAATTTGGCCCTAAGTGAAGCGGCCTCACACGCCTACGCTCACCTACCCTCGCGTGGGCGGCAACCCTTCCCACCCACCATGCCCGTTATGGCCGCCCACAATCCCCAGGACCTACACGAACTGATTGCCGCCCACAGGTAAGGGCTCGGGTGGCGGGGGGGGGAGTTATACTGACTACGTAGGTTGGACTGCAGACACTGATATACCGACACATTGCCCTAATATACTGACACATTGCCCTGTTATGCTGACCCATTGCCTTAATACACTAACACATTGCCCTAATAATCTGACACATTGCCCTAATAATCTGACACATTGCCCTAATAATCTGACACATTGCCCTAATAACTGGACATTGCCCTGTTATACAGACACATTGCCCTATTTTATTGCCTAATATGCATTGCCCTGTTACTGCAGACACATTGCCCTAATAATCTGACACATTATACCTGTGTTGATACATTGCCCTAATAATCTGACACATTGCCTAATAATACTTGATACATTGCCCTAATAATCTGACACGTGCCTAATAATCTGACACATTGCCTAATATACTGACACATTGCCCTGTTATGCAGACACATTGCCCTAATAATCCTGACACATTGCCCTAATATACTGACACATTGCCCTAATATACTGACACATTGCCCTGTTATACAGACACATTGCCTTAATAATCTGACACATTGCCCTAATATACTGACACATTGCCCTAATATACTGACACATTGCCCTGTTATGCAGACACATTGCCCTAATAATCTGACACATTGCCCTAATATACTGACACATTTCCCTGTTATGCAGACACATTGCCCTAATAATCTGACACATTTCCCTAAAAATCTGATATATTGCCCTAATAATCTGACACATTGCCCAAATATACTGACACATTGCCCTGTTATGCAGACACATTGCCCTAATAATCTGACACATTGCCCTAATATACTGACACATTGCCCTGTTATGCTGACACATTGCCCTAATAATCTGATACATTGCCCTAATAATCTGACACATTGCCCAAATATACTGACACATTGCCCTGTTATGCAGACACATTGCCCTAATAATCTGACATTACTGACACACATTCTGTTATGCTGACACATTGCCTAATAATCTAACATTGCCCTAATATACTGACACATTGCCTGTTATACAGACAATGCCATTTACACATTGCCCTAATAATCTGACACATTGCCCTAATAATAACATATGCCCTAATAATCTGCACATTGCCCTAATATACTGAATACATGCTCTGTTAGACACGCCCTAATAATCTGACACATTGCCCTAATATACTGACACATTGCGCTGTTATGCTGACACATTGCCCTAATAATCGACACATTGCCCTAATATACTGACACATTGCCCTGTTATGCAGACACATTGCCCAATAATCTGACACATTGCCCCAATACTGACACATTGCCCTGTTATGCACACACATTGCCCTGTAATAATCTGACACATTGCCCCAATAATCTGATACATTGCCCTAATAATCTGACACATTGCCCTAATATACCAGACACATTGCCCTGTTATACAGACACATTGCCCAAATAATCTGACACATTGCCCTAATAATCTGACACATTGCCCTATACTGACACATTGCCCTGTTATGCAGACACATTGCCCTAATAATCTGAACACATTGCCCTAATATACTGACACATTGCCCTGTTATGCAGACACATTGCCCTAATAATCTGACACATTGCCCTAATAATCTGAAACATTGCTCTAATATACTGACACATTGCCCTGTTATGCTGACATATTGCCTTAATAATCTGATACATTGCCCTAATAATCTGACACATTGCCCTAATATACTGACACTTTGCCCTGTTGTGCTGACACATTGCCTTAATATACTGACACATTGCCCTAATAATCTGATACATTTCCCTAATAATCTGACACATTGCCTTAATATACTGACACATTGCCCTAATATACTGACACATTGCCCTGTTATGCTGTCACATTGCCCTAATAATCTGATACATTGTCCTAATAATCTGACACATTGCCCTAATATACTGACACATTGCCCTGTTGTGCTGACACATTGCCCTAATAACACACTGAACTAGCTAGGATATCCCACCGCTTTCCATATTAAGAACTAAATGTAGGTTGTTAGGTGATACTATCTGCTAGTCACCTGTGAATTAACTGTATGTTGTCAAGTAATACCACCTGCTATTCACCTGTGACCTGGATAATTAGTAATCCACTAGTTCACTGTAATGTAATCGTGTGGTGGTTGTTGTAGTTTGTGATCTTCACCACCATCACACTGGTAACTCTTATAACAGCTGTGTAGTTGTTTCATAATACTTAATGTTCACACAAACACTATATGGCCTTCTTATTTATTCACCAAAATATAAGTACACTATGTTATCATAATGACTAATTAATAGGTAATAGGAAACTGTCACAGAAGGAGAAAATTTTGGAGGTAATTTACAGAGGTTCTTTAACACGTCTGTTGTTTGAGATACTTAGGGCGGACAGTTGGTGATGACCTGTGTACGTCAGAGGTGAGAGGAGGACGCGGGAATGTTATCCAGCACGTGGGAAGGAAGTGATAATCTATGATTAGTTACCGATTATCTAGTTAATTAGGATAGTATAAGTTATACTACTGATACATGTAAATAGGCTACATATACTACAGTCTATATGATGACAGGCTATAACAACATTACCCTTATATAGAGATATTGCCCTTGTATAATGTCACATTGCCCTAATATACTGACATCGACATTTTATACCGACACAATGCCCTATTATTCTGACATATTGCCCTTATATACGGGTGGGCGAGATAGTGTCTACGGTTGGGTTAGAGACGTTTTGAGATAATGGAGATGAGAGACAAAACTTTTGTGAATAATTCCAATAGTGAAAAAAATATGTTATGGTCATAGGTTTAAAAAATAACAATGACAAATGAGAAATAACCTAAAATGAAAATAGTGAATGAGATATAATGGAATATATACAAGAATTAATGAAAAATAAGGGAAAAATAAAGGCTGATGAAATATGAGGAATAAGGTTGGTTGGACAATGTTCATCCTCCCGTCACCTCTTTTCCCACCCCTCCCCTCCGCCCATCACCTCACCTCACTACCCCTTCCACCCTTTACCTGGCACTACTCCACCCCTCACCAATAACCCCCCTCAATTCTCACCCCGCTCCCATCCCCTCAACCTTCACCTATCTCTCATCTCACCCTCACCCCATCTTATTTCACCCCACCACCGTCACCCTACTTTCTTTTACCCCCACCATCCTTTACCCCCACCACCCCTCACCCCCTACCACTTCTTACCCTTCGCCATATCTCTCCCCCACCACTCTTTCACCCTCATCCCACCATCCCTACCCACACCACCCATCACCCTGCACCACACCACCTCAAACCCCACCACCCCACCATCCTCTCACCCTTCACTCCCCAAACCCCCAACCCCACCATTCCCAACCCACCACCCCTACCCACACCACCCACATCACCCCCACCACACCACCCACATCACCCCTGCACCCACACCACCCACATCACCCCTACCCACACCACCCACATCACCCCTACCCACACCACCCACATCACCCCTACCCACACCACCCCCAACACCCTTCACCCCCACTTCTCCCAATTAATGATACACACATAAACAAACTCATACTGTTATATCCATCAATTTCTCTGTTTTTATGAGATGTTCTGTTGTGTGTTTGTAAGAGGACAGCACAGTCAGACCGACTCACAATATACCCGTTCATAATCCTGCTTTAAGCTTATGTAATCTATCAATGTGGGGGTTATTAGAAGCTCTGGTTTAGTAGGTTAGGTTATGGAGATGTTCGGGGTACTTGGTTCTAACTACAGGGGCAAACATAAACACCTGTAGAGTTCTGTAGGTTCTTATTAACGGAAATATACAGGAGTGCGCTCACAAGCGCAGGTAGTCCTCACACTCCTATAGGGGTCATCTGACCTTACTCTGACCTCTCAGGCGACATGTGGTAAGTGGGATACTAGCAGCTTCCAGATGTCGCCAGGCACATTTATCTAAGCGTGTGGTGACATGAAGCAGGGGCATTGCCACACGCTAGTGACTAGAGAAATAATGTGTATATATACTGTAGAGTACATACATGGTACACATACAACATACATAATATATATACACCTCCCCCCCCTCTATACACTCATAGCAAAGTCTTGAGCGGACCTTTTCCTGTGGATCCGTTCTGAGCGTCGAGGGGCTTAATCACTGAGGGGGGATATGGGACTCAGCACTGGTGACGGGGTCAGCGGGATGCGTTACGGGGCGGAGGAAACGGCGGTTCCTCCACCACACCCGACCGCTGGGTAACCGCACCTGGTAGTCCCGTGACCTGCCGAGACCCATGACTACGCCCACTTTGTCCCAACGTAGGGAGGTTGGGTCTTGGACACGGACTTGGGTGCCGACACTCAACCTGGGGGGAGGACGGGCGTGGTCGTTGTGGCGGGCGACGACGTCTTGAATATGTTCGGCGGCTCGGCGATCAAAATCCTCTGTCTTGGCTTGCCACTCCTTGGAGCAGGGGCACAAGAACGGAGGGGGCGTCCATACAAGACCTGGGCAGGGGAGCGTCCGGTGTTATTGGGTGTGTTGCGGAGCTCAAGGAGACCCTGGTCGAAGGCCTCGCAGTCAATATTCCCAGAAGGGGCCACTTTGAGGATGAGGTGCTTCAGGGATTTGACAGCAGTCTCAGCGTGGCCGTTGGACTGCGGGTAATGAGGCGGTGACAACACGTGCCGGACTC